GTTTAAAACTGAGAAAAGTGTGCAACAGGGTTGTATTATTTCACCATACTTACTCAACCTGTATGCTGAGCAAATAATCTGAGAAGCTGAGTTATATGAAGAAAAAGGTCACATCAGGATTGGAGAAAGACTTATTAACAACCTGAAATATGCAGATGATACAATTTTCCTTGCTGAAAGTGAAGAGGACTTAAAATACTTACTGATGATCAAAGAGCACAACCTTCGGTCTGGATTGCATCTCAATGTAAAGAAAACAAAAACCCTAACCACTGGACCAATAAACAACATTCTTATCAATGGAGAAAAGATTGAAGTTGTCAAGGACTTCATTCTTCTTGGATCAACTATCAACACTCATGGAAGCAGCAGTGAAGAAATCAAACATATTGCATTAGGCAAATCTGCTGCACAAGACCTTTTTAAAGTGTTGAAGAGCAAAGATGTCAGCTTGAGGACTCAGGTATGCCTGACCCAAGCCATGGTATTTTCAAAAACCTCATATGGGTGCGAAAGCTGGACAGTGAATAAGGAAGACCATAGAAGAATTGATGCTTTTGAGTTATGGTGCTGGAGGAGAATATTGAAAGTGCCATGGGCTGCCAAAAGAACCAATAGATCTGTGTTGGAGGAAGTGCAGCCAGAGAGCTCCTTGGAGGTAAGGTGGACAAACTTCATCTCTCATACTTCAAACATATTGTCAAGATGGTCCAGTCACTGGAGAATGATATTATGTTTGGTAAGATGGAGGGTCAGAGAAAAAGAGGAATTGGCAAGCAAGATAGATTGGCAAAATGACAGCATCAATGGGCTCAAGTGTGGAAACAATTTTGAGATTGGCCCAGGACAGAGCAGGGTTTCATTCTGTTGTACATAGGGTCACTATGAGTCGGTACGACTTGATGGCACCTAACAACAGCAACAACAATTAACAATCAAATGTTTAACCCACTGCACCACCCAGAGACTTAAACCAAAAACCAAAACTGAGCCCACTGCCATCAAGTTGATTTTCACTTGCAGGGACTCTATAGGACAGAGTGGAACTGATTCATAGGGTTTTCAAGACTCAATTTTTAATAGAGCAGACAGTAAAGCAACTGATAAATTTGAACTGTCAACTTTTCAGTTAGTTGTCCAGTGCTTAACCCGCTGTGCCACCAGTTTCCTTTAAATGTAAAAAGGAAATATAGTTTAGCTAATGCCCAGAATGAAAGGCATGTTATTTCATGTGCATATAGCATTGTGTTGCCACAGATGTGTATCAGTATGCTTTATCCAAATGAAAACAACTTGCACAATACTGACACCATTTTCTAAAACTCAGATTTAAGAGACCCTCATGTTTGAAAAATGGTTATTGTAGCTCTGAACATTACATTTTCAAGCAACTATCTTCAAGTAGGAAGGGATGAGTGTTTTTTATCATGAGCCTCTCTTATTTTATCAGAGAGGGGTATCTCCACCAGAAACTACTCAACAAACTATCCCACACTCCCCACTGTACCTTCCAAATAGCCTGTGTAGCATGGGTTATGGTCATTCCATATTTGTAAACAAATCTCCATATATCTTCCTTTACTGTTCCAATTCCTTTACATGAATTTCAGGGAGGGGACTTTAGTAACATCAACTTTACTGAAATCCTACCAATAGCTTAATTTCAAAGATAAACTCTTAATACGGTTTCACAGTGCTATGAGATAACCTTACTCTGAGCAGGATTCACAGTCTCCAAAATTTGTTGTGTCTGGAATGGTCTGGATTAATAGATGTGTGCACTTGTCTTACAAAAGCATACAAGTCACAGGCCTTGAGTCTCTGTTTTATGGTAGGAAAGAGGGAAATGTCACTGAGTTCTTGTGAGAATATTTGAACTCAAGAATTGCTTTCTGCCACACTAATCTGACATACAGGCCTTCATTAGACTTCATACATACAGTGCAAGGAAGTATTCTTGCCAGGAGGAGCAGCAATAAGAACTCTCATTTTTATATCCAATATCCTACTCATTTATGTAAAATAAACCACAGGTATTTGAAGTAGTCAGTTGAAGAAAGAGGTCAAAAACATTTCCCAAAAAGAGCAGAAATTATATACACTATCTCCCAACCATCACCAAAAAAAGCATAGTCTTGAGTCCTTTCTGACTCATAGTAACCTTATAAAGCCCTGTTGCTGTTGTTGCAAAGTGCTGTCGATTCAGTTCCAACCCATCGCAACCCTGTATAGGGTTTCCAAGGAGAGGCTGGTGAATTTGAACCACCTACCTTGTGATTCAAACTGACTTTGCAGTCCAGCACATTAGCTCACAGTGCCACACCAGGACTCCTATAAAGCTTAAAGGACAAGATAAAGAGATAATTCCTGATGGACTTAACTGCAGGTGAAAAGAACTGAGCTGAAGATTACCATGTGCAAAGTGGCTGTCTGTGACTGAGTGGAATCCACCAGGGAAGATGTATGAGTATGGAAGGATAGGATAAGTCATGAATTGTGAATTCTTTGTAATGACAGTTGAAGGAGGCATTAGGGGATCTCAAGGCAAAAGATATGCAATATAGGAAGCATGAAGCCAGTTAGAAAGCTGGTTTATCTTTATTAAAATAATAGCAATGCCAAATCACTGAACCATGATTGAGTAAATAAAACCCCATGGAAGATCCTTTACAGGCTCTCAAAAATTCACAAGTCTTGGAAGCTATTCTGACAAAATGGTCAACATTTTTTCAATTTCAAATTATTTTCTTCTAATTTTGTGAATTCTTTTTGGATCTGGCTTTGAAAGACACATTACAACCCTCTCATCCTTAAGACAAGACCCCATCAAAATAGTCTTCAAACTATTGTCTAGATTAGTAGTAAAGAATGTCTTCTTTGAGCAAACTGACAACAAAATGTTTGATGGGAAGCTTGGGGGCAATGAGTTTCTGTTAAGGAAGGAGCACTTCAGAAAAGGAGGATGAAAAGGGTTGCACAACTTGAATAATATATGTTGCAGAACCGAACATATAGAAATTGTGAATTGGTGCACGGTCTACTATGTATATTTTCAACAACAAAAACTAAAACAGTTTTTGCAGTGAGTCCTCAGTGCTTCCTAGACACCCTTATTCCCAGTGGATGGAAGCAGTAGTATGAGGATAAAAGTCATTAAAGATGATGGAGCCAAGCACTGTAGTGACCCACCACGAGTTTATTTAGAAATTGAAATAATTACCTCAGACTAGAAATACCAGAGCTCATTGATAAAGCAACTTATTCCTCAACTTCCCAACTGTGGTAATCTGGTCTGTTTGAAATCTGTGACAGGGCCTTATTGTCTCAGGAGAAACCTGTTCCATGACTGAGAAACCCACCACCGCCAGTTCCTTTCCTGCTATTTCTATGTGTAACTAAACTAACAGTCCCTCTTCCAGGCCAGACTTCTGAGAATATACCAACCACACTCATAAGCTTATTTTCTTCAACCTAATCTTCTCAGTGCTGTCAACTATGACCTATTAAACATGGAGACATGGTTTCCACAGCTCTTTCCCTGCTCCTTCTCAAGTGCTCCATTTTAGCTCTGTAATTCCTGGTGCAGAGCTATAAGATCAACACTGAACTATGAAACACAAGGTCAACAGTTCAAACCCACTAGCTGCCCTTTGGAAACCTCATACAGAGTCACTATGAATCAGAACTGACTCAACAGTACTTAACAACAACACAACAAATCTGTCATAGTCTCATGTAAAATATGTGTCCAGCCTAGAAAATAATGACAAGTTTAAACAATCCTCAGGAGTTGAAGTCTTCTACTGTCTCTGGAAAAGACTAGTCGATATCTTTTGTGCTGATGTTAAATTTTGTTTACAATAACTAGATCGACAGACAGATAGATGAAGACTAGATTGATTAACATGTCCAGGCAAGGTTTGAAAAACAATCTTTATTGCTTGGGTCCTAACTAGTCCCTTTATTCTCCTTCATTCCATTGGAATTATGCCTGCTACTATATCTCCATGGTCCTTTCTTCTTCCTAAAAATGAGAAAATAAATGAGGCAGAACAGGAAGAGGCAAAAAGCAGTCTTAGCTCCATTAGTGAGACTTGACTTTCTTTCATCTTTATCTTACAGTCACACACACCATGGTATTTGCTCCCAGATCATTTGTAGCCAAAGGAAGGCACTGGAAATTTTCCAAATTTGAGGATTTCACCACCACATTATTCCTTTCCCACTTTTCTCTTTTATCCAGAAGGTTATCTCTATCTAAAGTGAGTGCTCAGTTCAAGCAACTTCAGACCCCAAATATCTAATCCTACTAGGCCTGCAGGCCTCTTCTCAGGCCTATACTGACCCTTGAAGTTGTGCTAAGCTCTCTCTGCCAGGAAGGGCTCCTGGCAGTTTTTCCTCTTAGATCCACTAGAGATTAGATCAGTCACACTGACACTGAGTTTTCAGTAAAAACTCTACCTTCTCATTTATGTACATTGAGGTAAATCCTTAGAAGCACTGTGTATCTACTATGGATGCAGCTTCAGAGTAACCCAGAGCATTTCCCTGCAGCCCCTTCCTTGAGATCCCTCTTCAGATCAGATCCCTGATCTCTTGGACAAGATCAGAAGATGGTGTGGGCCCAGATTTTACCAGTCCTAAAAGAAAGCTACATCATCTTGCGGGATCTTCTGTTCCACGAACCTCAGTTGCTGTGCAAAAACCAAAACAGAAAAAATATTTCTTATTAAAGAGTAAAGCAGCTCTGTCAGTACTTAGAAAATCTCATAAATCCTTGTGACAGCTAGAAAATTAGGGTCAAATTTTGACTTATAGATAAGACTTTGTTAGATTCCAAGGCAAGATCCAAGAGCCCCAAATTATGCACGTCACTCCCGAACAGTTGTTCCCTGAATGGATAAAGCCCCTAACACTTCCTTATGGAGGCATAAGCCTAGGTGAGAAAGCCAGTACAGACTTGGAGAAGGCACAGTTCCCTCCACAGACCCAGTCCCTGCTCACTTCCTGTCCTTTGGAGAATGAAACACGAAGCCTGGACACTGGCTCCACGGTCTCTTCATGCTAAGGCCTTCTCCTGTGGGCTGCTGGTCCTCATCCTCATTTTCTTCTTGTTCCTCTTCCTCATCCTCCTCTTCCTCATCCTGGGTGCTCTCCAATTCCATATTGCCTGTCAGCTGAGCCATGGTGAGATGAAAGACATGGCAGCTGAAGCCCTCCCTGATCCCGTACTGCACATGATCCTGGAGGTTTTCCAAGGTGGAGAAGACCCGGCAGCAGGCCATGCACCTGAAGCCATTCTCAGTGGTCACCAGCCAGTCAGGCGTCCTGGCCCTGGGTCTCTCCTCAACTGCAGGTGACGCTGGTGGGCTATCTGACTCTGCCCTTTCCTCATGTTCTTTCTCCTCCCCACTGAGCTCACTGTCTGGCAGGAGATTTCTGGTGGACACCTCAGAGGGGGGAGTACCTACCCAAACGTCCTTAGGAAGGGTCATTTCTTCCATCCTCGGATGTTTTTCTACTGATTCTGAGGTTTTCTCTGTCTCCCAGGAGACAGCTACACCTTTCTTCGTTTGTACCTCCATGTAGTATATTTTCATGCACCGTACCTTTTTGTTTCCACACAGAGAGGATCTACAGGTCTTATAAGATGAAAGGGAAGGCACGGAGACTTGTGAGTGGTAAGAAATCTCTCCTTGTTCTTGAATTCGGAACAGGGGTGATCTAGGCCTCAGACTGTCTTGATGTATCTTCTGGACTCCTGCTGAATAAAATTAGAAGCACAAGTCATATGTGGAGTGTGATAAAAGCTGAAGTAACATAAATTAATACATGTGATACAAGAAAGAGTGAATGTGATGTAATGCAGTTGAATGATGAGCATTGTACTTGTACATATTATGAGAGGTGATGTAGCTATTATCACTGTAGGCTTTTCATTTGTGTCTAGGGCTGTTGGAGGTGTGTCTGTGAACATGTGTATGGAGCATGATGGGCATGTGATTAGTGTATGTGGTTAGGTGTAAAAGGGGACTTCAAAAAGTTCATGAAAAAAATCCATTATCTTTCTATCCCATCTTTCCATAATTT